GCCAGATGGTACAATCCTGACTTTTGTGTTCAGCTTTTGAATGGACTGCTGTTTTCTTTCCATAGATCAAGACTAGGGGAATCCTCTGGACTACAGGGAGAAAGGTGGGACACAAGGAAACCTCTGAAGTTTAGTTTTACGGCTGACTTAAAACTCTTGTGATATTAATCTTAAGTCCAGAGTTACTTGTAATTTCCTTGCCCCTTGAAGCCCTATCAATAGAGCCTGATGGAAGAGAGCTTTTATAGTTCAAACCTTCAAGCTGCCTTTTCCCATGTACTCACTATTCTTCACAAACTCTTGTATTGCAAGGTAGAGAAGAACTGAAATTAGTACAGAGAAGGGCAATCAGTATGACCAAAGATCATTTAGGAAGAAAGATTAAATAGCATAGTCCACTGTAGACTGGAATAAAAACAGCTGAGGGAGGACATGCTCAATGTATAAAGAGTCATGAATTGTGGGGGGAAAATAGGGAATGCTTATGCAATGCTTCTCACAGCACATAAGGTAGGTAGAATCAGAAACCTAAGCAAAAAGAAGCTAAAACTCTACAAAAAAGTATTTTCTCTTGTTTGCATGCAACTTGGCTGTGGAACTTACTGCCACAGGATGCTTGTGCAGGTCAAAAGCATAAAAATAGTCGAAAGGAATTAGATATAATCCCAGAAGAAAAATCTTTCAGATGTTACTGAATACATGAAGATAAAACCACTGTCTCAGGAAGTACATAGTCTGCAAATTAATAGAGACAGAGAGAGTTTACCAGAGGAAGGGGCACTATACTTTTTCTACCTTTTCTTTAAGAACATCCACCTAACTCCTGTCAGAAGTATGTTACTGTGTAAAAAGAACTTTGATCTGACACAGAATAGCTGTTCTGTGTTCCTGATACCTTCTTCAACTGCCTTTGCAACTCTGCAGGGAGATGAGAAGATTATGGTAAATTGAAGGCAGTTATGGGAATTTTGGCTTTTCATTTGTTTTTGCAGAAAGTATATTTCAGCAAGGCCAGAAAGTCTTGTCTTGTATTTCTACCCTGACTTGGACCTCAAGACTTTACATTTGCTTCAACTGTTCTTTACAGAATGAATTATTTGAGGCTATGTTGAAAAGTTCTGAATATATGCTAGTTTTATTCAAAGCTCCCACTTCAGAGGGCCTTTCTCCCTAAGTCTGTAATCCTTGCACTCAGCAGCACCCATGCTCAACGTGCTTTGCAGTGCTTTGTCTTTGCTCAGAAAGGTCATGCTGTGGAGGTGCAAAAGGCAGCACCAGCTCAGGAAGGATTTCACTGAGCCCTCCGATAGCCTCTGGTAATTCACTGTGTAGTCAGACAAACAATGATAGATGCCACCCTATCATCAACAGTGTGCTTACAGTCTAGACAACCAAAACTGAAAACAAAGCCTGACAAAGGTCTTGCTCGTTTGAGTCTTGCTGCCCTCTGGGAGAGGGAAGGAAGGGTACCTCCATCTGATACCATCTGGTACCTCCGTGAGGTGTCACAAAGGTGCTGATGAGCTCCTGTTCCACCTACAGGCCCTTTCACTTCAAATTTTTTGAGCAATTTTTTCCTATATAAAGGGATTCACATGTACAGAACCTGCTGAGCAAAACTGAGCCTAAGCTTCTTTTGAAAATATGGTCAGTCCAGTCATAGGGGTGCTTCTGGGAAGACTAATTTTTGAAAAATCTGGCTAAGCAATATTTTTGAACCATGGAACCAGGTGTTTCTCCTGTCATTAGAGGGAATTTCTTAGTATTTTGTAATTAAATTTGAAGGAAGTTCTCAAGGGACACAGCCCATCTCTTCAGTGCACACTTTTCAGCATCTGCAGCATACAATGAGATCTTGACCTAATATATTGCTGAAATGGCCAGAGCACAGGGAAAACATAAATGATAATGACTAACAGAAAATATGTGTGATTATCTCACAGTGTAACATGCCTTTGTCTCACACTTTTCCACTGTACATTTTAGTTCATTCTTAGGACCTCAAAGACTAGAATGACAGAGCAGGTGTGTGCAATATGTCTATATGCTATCAGAAGAGATTTAAACAGATTGCCTTCCTTGGCTACAGGAAGGAGCAGACACATAGCAGCGTGGAGGTCTCTAAGTCTGACTTAAAGAGAATACTGCTCACTAGCCTAGACAGAGAATTGTACTAATACAACTCTAAAACTCTGGGTATTTTGAGTAGCTTGGCTTTGCTTTCACACTTCTTGGCTGTGTTCAGAGCTCTGGGTGTATCCCAGGATATAATCAGCATTCACATAATGCAAAAGATCAGCAGCACTGCCAGGTGAGAGTTACAAAAGCACACTGCATATCTGCCACTGCATCTTAGAGATATATGACCAGTGCATCCTGCAGATACCAGATCTGCATAGAAGCCTTCTGAATTCCAGCTGGACAAGGCTTCAGCTGTGCAGGGAATCATCAGAACTGACTCCTAGGTAGCCTCTACCACTGTAGAAGGCTACTGGCTTTCAACAGTCAGGACAACGCAAGGAGGACTTATGAACTCTAAGAGTGACCATAGAAAGCTTAGTTGTCTCTTCATGGCAGAAGACAGGAGGTTTCTTCACCATCATCCCTACTCTGTACCTGGGCTTCCAGATATTGTGACACTCTAGGTCACTTGCCTTAAAGGGGATTCCAAAGCGCACAATTAAACATGACTTCCTCCCTAAGCAAAACGTATTCAGTGACTGACTTCCAGTAGGACATGGTTACTGTGTATTTATGTGATTGATACAGATAACAGACTCAAGGACTGATGGACTCCTGTTCACATGGAAATGGAGGGCCTCACATTAAAAGTGTCAATGAGCTGACTCATGGTACTCTGACATGCTCAGGAAGAGTCATCATGACTTACTTTTTCCATCTGCATAAATCTTATTGGCTCTAGGGAGCCTGAACACGTCCTTTGTTTCTCTCAATCTGGTGACATAACTACAGAGAAAAAGTGTTTAGCAGCACAGAATCCATTTTGCTTGAAGACATCGGACAGTGGGTGAAATACAAACAAATGCAAATTTTGGTTCAGTAAAATCGAGCATGCATGAAAGCACTGTAGCTCTGGTGAAGATTCCAGCTGCAAAGGCCCTCCTGTAGAGACCACAGAGAAATTAACCAGTGAGTTGATGATGCATATACTTAGAAAATAATCTGAAATTAAAAATTAATTAAGTTTCATCAGTGGTTCCCTGAAAATAAGCAATTAATTATTTACTACTTATAGATACATATTTATCTTTTAGCATTTTAGAGGTCCAGATGAACTCTGGTACATCATTTCTGCATTAAAAATACCTCAAACACCATCATAGTCCTTTTTGTTTTTTCCCTCAAAGAAAAATAAAAACAAAGCCTTGAAAAGACAGAAACTGACTCTCATGCTCATTTGCTCTAAGCACAACACAGAATAAAGAAGAAGCACATAGGTGGGGAAACAATTCATCACCACTTCAGCTTGAGCATTTACTTAAAACATCATAGTGCCCTGACAAACCCAGCCACTAGCTACATTTTTTTCATTCCAAGGAAGGTGGCAGGGCATGGTCAGAGATAAGAAACTTTGGGAACATACTTTTGGTTTCTTAGAGATTGGTTTATGCCCTGAAATTGGAAGCTTAACGGTACTTCTTTTAGAGATTGGGGTTTTTTGCTCAGCTGGGTTTTTTGTTTGGGTTGTTTGGGTTTTTTAACCCTTACTATTCTAGCAATAGGCATTCCCTATCCACCTCCTTATCCACCTTTGTGTCATCATTCTAAATCACTTTCTTCAGAGAGGAGTTTTACATTCCAGCCTTAAAAGACAACTATGGATTATGCATTCATTATACTTCTGAACACAGGATGAGCCCTTGTAAGTATTTGGATAAGGGACAGCCTTTGAAAGCCCAGTATCCTGTGGGAAATGCTATGGCTGATTCACCAGGTGCCAATATTCTGCCTGGTAATTCACAATTGGTACTCTTCCAATTAGCAGTAGGAGACATAACCGCTAATACTGCCAGCTGCTACCTGGAATGCCTTTTTTATCTGTGGTTGTTTTTTTTTTTTTTTTTTTCTTTCTTGTCTGCTTGTCCTCTTTTTACAGAGATTCTGCAAGAAGACAACGTCATTGTAACACTCAGTTAACCGATGCAGTCACAAAAAGGGCAACTAGGTATAAACTAGAGATAAGGCAAAAGAACAGCAAACTGAAGAAGGCAGGAGGCTTAATGGGTAGGATGCGTTCCGAGCCTGAGGAGGACGATCCGACTAGCGGAGTGGCTGTTTTCTCCCCGAGGGAATGGCTTGATGGGGGGCACATGAGTGTGCGTTCTTTTCAAGGCTCAAGACAAGCGACAAGTCGTGACCTTCTGCATTTGCCAGCTGGGGAGAGAGGCGTGGATCCCGCAGGGCTCACGGCCATTTATTTGACCCTAGTCATTTCAGGGGATAACCAGAGCCGGTACACACGGCGGTGTGCAGGCCTGGCTGCTCCTATCCGTCCGGTGCGACAGCGCCCACGGCTCCGCAGGACGCTGCGGGCCGGAGGGATTGCGCTGCGGGCCGGAGGGATTGCGCTGCGGGCCGGAGGGATTGCGCTGCGGCAGCGCTGCCTGGAGCGGAGCGCCAAGCTGGCAGGGCTGGGGAGCGGCAACCCTGCCCTGCAGTCCCGGGCCGCGCTCAGCAGCAGGGGGGCCGGGCGGGAGCAGGAGCAGCACACTCGCCCGACCACAAGAGTGCCCCGTTGGATCCCCGGAGCCCGAGGCGCAGGCGGCTCCCAGCGCGCCCCTCCCGCTGCCCGGGGGCGGGCAGGCCGCGCTGTCGGCGCCCCCCGCCGCCGGTCGCCATGGCGACCCGGCCTGCCCGCGCCGTGCGCCTCCCGCGGGGCTCCTGCCGCCGCGGGGTCCGGGTTCTGGCGGCGTCGGCACTGCCCCAAGGGTTCTCCGCACCCCCGCAGGGAAGGGAGTCCCTGCGCTCCCGCGGGCAGGGCCAAGCCCGGCCCCAGCCCCGCTGCGCCACCGGGGCCTGCCCGGGGTGGGAGAGGAGGAGGAGGAGGAGGAGGAGGAGGGACTCCGCAGCGGCAACAACTGACGTGTCCCCGCCATGGAGCTCGGCGTGATTCATCAGCGGCGGCGGGGCGGCAGCGGGATGCCGCGCTCCGCTCCCGCGTAGGCACTGCTGCGGCGGGGGCAGCCCCGGCACCGCTCTGCCGCCCGCACCGCCCTCCTCCTCCTGCTCTCCGCCTGCTTCTCTTCCCCCGCGGCTAGGCGAAGATCCCGAGGGAGGCAAGATGGAAGAAATCCTGCGAAAGCTGCAGAAGGAGGCGTCGGGGAGCAAGCACAGGGCCATCAAGGAGAGCTGCACCTGGGCCATCGGTACGGGGCGAGGGGCGCGGGCTGAGCCCGCCGCGGCCGGGCTGCCGCGGGGAGCGCAGCGGGGCAGGAGCCGCCGATGGAGGGGTTTTGTAACGGCGGGGGCAGGGAGACCTCAACAAACTTGTTCCGCGCTGGCTGCTGAGCCTCCGGCGGGCGGGGAGCGACAGGAGCGCCTCGGGCTCTTCGAAATGCCCGGGAGCTCTGCGCTGCTGTAAGAGGCCGTGGCACCTGCTGCCGGTCCCGGAGCGTATCCGCGTCCTTCGCCCTCCCCGCCTCCTGGATCTGTTTCGTGGCGCTTCCCAGGCAGATACGGGTATCAGTAGCTGTCAGTTTCCCCGTCAGTTTCGGAGGGACTGTCTTTTTCTTAAAAGGCCCCCTCGTTCCCCTAAATCATCGTAAAAAACCGTCCAGCATAGTTTTTACTGCTGGCTTATGTTCGGGAATCTATTTTAAAAGCTAGGAGTTTTGTTTTACTGGATTCCATGAGCTCTTTTATCCTTGCTAAATAATGGAAATAATGATCAGTATAACGAGTTCATTTTTTTAAGGGAATACAAGCTTAGGTACATTTTAACATCCACCCATTTTGCAAGATTGTTTGTGGCTTGAATTGTTTTTTGACGCTAAGAACCTGGAGCACTTGTCAGCACTCGTCAGCAAGACCTCTAACTTACATCATCATAACTGTGATACTTTCAGTTACTTTAAATTTTTATTTTTCATCCATACGTAGTGACAGCATTCTGTGATAATTCATACGTGTTGCTGTCTTATTACTGGCCTTTCATCCTGATGTTCCATGCACAGCAGCCATGCAAATACCCCATATACTGTTCCAGTTTTAGTATCTGTGCTGCCGAAGTGCTGATATGTGAAAATGGAAAAGATGGTACTCGATGCCTTCTCATTGGGCACCCAGGCTCCTGACAGATTTCTGCAAAGCTTTGTGGACTTGGAGCAGCAGTGATTGTTGTTTTGTCAGCTGAAGTAGGTGTAAACTTTAGGATCGTTAGTTCAGAGATTGTAGCCAGATGTATTACTGTGGTTGAACTCAGAAGTTTCTTTCAAAAGCCCTATTGTTTCTTTTGATTATACAGAAACCTTGGATTCTCCTGATGCTGCTATCAAGATACCTCCGTATCAGCTAAGGTAAGAACATTTAATGTTGAATCCTGTGTGTGTAGCTGTAAGTATTTGTAAAATTGAAGCAAAAGACTGAATTAAAAATGAGGTGGACAGAGGAGGGGGCTGAATCTTTATGATTTCTTTAGTTTATAGATACACCTATCTGTGCTGATAGTAGTGGATAACTTGCTGATGATTCCTTGGCCTGTGGCCATGAATGAAATGTGTTAGAATGGGTATGTATAGTGGTGACACTGGTTAGAAACCTTACGGTTTGAAGAGTTTTCCTTCTAATTACAGCTTTCGGTATAAATGATAATGTTTCCCAGCCTTCTGAGTGTGTTCGTTTTCTTTGCAATCTAAATCAGTTTTTGTTTACTGAAAATAAAAATTCTGGCAACTGAAAAATTATTATATAGCTAGGACACTGACTAAAAACTAAAATAATGCAGTTTCTATGCCTAATTCTTCCTTTAGCCTACTAGATTATCTTGAGTAAGCCTTCTTCCTTCTTCCTACCTCCATTTGTACACCTATAAAATGGGGGAGGTGCACAAGATCTCATTTTGGAAATTCTGATTGTTGTGGAGTCAGTGGATAAGCAAAATTAATCATTGTCACTTCTGACAGAACCATTGGGAATCATCAAAAGGAACTAGAGAGCATATTGTTTAAAACAGAAGGAGGCTGTTTCACACAGCCTAATCATATAGATGTGAAATACTTATGCTTGCCTTATTAAAGAATGTAATGGATGCTACAAAATTGCATGAGTGCAAAAATCACCTCAGCAAATCCATGGAAGAAATTGATTGAAGTCGATCAGGTGCAAAGGTACCCCATCTTATTCAGAAGTACTTTAGTCAGAGGTGATTGAGTTTTTATAAAAGGGTATGTAGGAGTCTTGCTGGATATGTGGCCTGTCCTGTAGTTCTTCTAGATATCTGTTATGAGCTGCTGACAGAGGTACCATTTTTTTACCACAATATTACTCTCAGTCAAGCAGTCACCAAGGTATAAGAGCAGTTCTTTTGCCACTCTAAAATCCTAGCAGCTGCAGTCCACAAAAGGCCTCAATGAAGTGGGGGATGGATGTAGCACAGGTCTGACGTAACCAATGCCAGACACATGCATCTCCAACACAGACTGGAAACAGCTGGATAACTAATTCCTTGTAGCTTCATTAGAATTAGGTTTACTTGTCACTGTGGCTGGAGAACACTTGGCTCTTCATCTTCCCTTTTATCAGCCTCTATCTTTATGGTCTCTCTCTTTTTAAGTGCTATTGTCTTTCCCTGTGAATTAATTAACTAGCTGTTACCACACTACTTCCTTTTTCACTTGCCTACTACCTCTTTACAGATATGTCTACCTTTTTCTCTTCTTCCTCCAGTGTTCTTAATGATGTATTTGTTTATTTGGGGCGTTTTTTCCACTGTAAATCCTAATCATTTTAAATAAAGCTAATGCTCTCACAGGTGTAGCTATGATGAAGTAAACTCTTAACGTTAGACTTGTCAGTAACAATGCACTGATTATTACTGAATGTTTTGCAAAATAAAAGGTACACAGGAGAATTTGAATAGAAGCTTTTGTTGTGGGACCCTTGGTAAGTCTCTGCCACACAACCTCAGACAGTGTGAGAGCTGTTGCTGAACTGACTCTTCCCTCTTTGATAACAAGAGGTGCCAGGCTCCAGATCAGCACACTGAGCCACATCTTGGGCTGGAGTTCACCTGCATGGTTTGCAAATTAGATAAAATTTCTTCTTTGCTTGGTATTTGTGGAAGAACAGCACTCTGATGGCTTGGGTCCTAACACTGGAAAAGAATAGGCTTGAAAGTATTGTGGCAGCTACAACCAGAAACACAGCCAGGATACAGGATGGAGACATCCTGACCATACCTCTTTCCTGCTTTTGACTTATATCAGGTGCAGGTTGTATCACCTGCTGTAATGCAGGTCAGCCTCTGACTGCTCATCCACTTGGAATCTGAGTCTGCACTTCACACTTTTTTCTATATTATTTTTGAGTGTAGTAACAGAGCATGGGAATGTGTTGTGGAATATTCCATAATACTAGAACTAATCTTTCCACGAATTAACCTTCGTCCACAACTCAGATCTGAGATTCATAGTGACAACATACTGAAAATGTTAAAGGCAGTGTGGCAAATAGTTCAGGAAAAAATGTATTTATGAGCTGAATTTTGAGTACCGTATGGGGGTGGGGCGAGGATGTTCCAGCCTGTTTAGTAATAAAGTTTGGGGTGTCCTTAGAATATAATGGATATAAAGAAAGGACATCAGCACTTCTCTACAGGGTATTTGGGAAAGTTCTTGATCTAGGGCACATCCATACTGCATAGGAATAGAGAACAGATTTATGAGCTACCACATCCAGTTGAGATAGATACTGACTTGGTTTCAAAAATAGGAAATGAAGTAAGTACTCCAGTCAGTATTGTTCTGTTTCTCCACAGAGCAGTGTTTGGCTTCCACTAGTGAGTTGTACTGATGTTATTGACATTTAACAGGTTGTCTGTGACTATGCTTAAGTTCTTTTCCTTCTAAAACTGAAGAACGAAGACTAGTTTCAAAAATGAGAGTGTGTAAACTGTATACTCACTTTTTTGATTTATAATAAGAAAAACCATTTGCTGCTTTTGACACCCCAGTTCCAGATGAGTAGAGGTTCTTCATAATGTTTTCTTGTAAGATCATGATCCTAGTGTGAGAATGAAGAGCACATGGTGTCTTTTTACATTTCCTCAGCCTATGACCCATTTGAGTTCAAGGGTTTTTTAACATATGTCAGCTACATACTTGTCTCCACAATAGTGTTGAGGTAGGTTCTGTGTTCCAGCTTGCTCCTGATCCCTCCATGGCTTCCTCTCTTGTTTTGGACCTCTGTTACTGAACATTAAGCAGACTACATAAGTTCTCTGTGCAATTAATTAGGGGCTTTAGCTGTACCATTGTATGGGAGCTGTTTCTAGCACTTGTCTGGTAGCAGATACTACAGGCCTGCTATGTTTGGGAGCAAGGGAATCTCAGTGACTGGACATTCAACCTGGAATGTCATTCTTTAATTAGTTTGATAGACATCTGTTGGATATATCTTTAGGGAGCTAAATGAGACTATTTTGCTGTTCCACTTCCCTTGATGTTAATTGGACTTATGAATCCAAATCCCACTTAATGACCTTGCATATTAATTCTAATGAGGGGCATCATTTCAATGTCTCACTTCCTAAAGAAATACAAATCTCCAACAAATACGGAGTTTCCCTTGTCAGCTCTGCCTTGAGATAGGAGTATGTGTGACTTTTTGGGACTTCCAGCTTATGTTCAGAGTGTTGGGCAAGGTTTGAGATAGTAACGAAGATTAAAGTGGATCAAGATGGAAATGACTTGAAGTTGGTTCAAGGCTTTGTTGTAGATGTTCTGGGAATTCTCCAGAAGGGAGAGTCACATAACCTATTGGTAACTGGTCTCTTATTAGCTGCGTAGTATGATGATATTTTTCTCTGAACAGGAGTTGTAACGATTGAATATATACTAAGTCCTTAAGGAGTCTGGATGGATGACTTCAATCATGAGTTAGATCAAAGGAATTGATGTGCTCGTGTTTTAATTGGTGAATTGATCACACAGAAAATAGCTTAAGAGTTGTCTGCCAGCAAACAGTTGTTTGCTACTAAGTTGGGCTCTGTTTACTTCAATATTTTCAAGATGACAAATTCTTCCCTAAGGCCAACAATATACACTGAATAAGCCTCTCTTCTTGGCTAATCCCCTGCCAGTTCCTCTACTGTGTTTTTAGAGGCTGAAATATGACCTATTACAGGTAACTGAACAGACACAAGAAAATAAGCTTTGAAAAAGAATGTTTGATCAGAGCAGTTTAATACTCATGAGAATTATCACCCTATCAGAGAATAAAATAAAAGGCTAGACAGCGCTTGCCAGTCACAAACCACTTTCAAAAAACTTGGGTTTAGCAGAGTTTCTTGGAACACTTTATAAACTTAAGTCATGCCTTATAGGCTATGTAAAACTTAGTGGCTTTTTATCAGCACAGACTTGGTGCTGCTAAGAGGAGGTGGATGGGACTTCTGAGAGAACTTCTTTTTGGAAGGAATGCAAATTACATCATGTACTGTGCCAGAAAGGCTCACTTGAATTCCTCTTGTATTTCACATTGGCCTTTCAAAAATTACCAGGATTTCTGGATATTACGACTGGGAAGTCAAAAGTCAGTGATGAGCAGGGTCCTCTGTAATAACCAGCTTACATCCAGTTCTGTCTCTTCTGTTTGTGTCCCAGTAGTAGTCATCTTGTGTCCCACTAGTTTTTGAGGGCAGTTTGGGAACTTCGGTAAGCCAATGTGATGAAGACCTGTCAGGAACAGACATATGTCTTAAATTTAGCTGAACTCTGAAATATCTATCCTCCTTGCATTTTTTTTTTTTTTTTAATAGTCTTGGGCATCTGGGGATGAAAGTAGTAGTTCTAATCTACTGCTTATTTTTACATCTCTAGCTTTGCATTTGACGTACTTCTTGAGAAATATATAGCTTATAAACTCTTAAATAAAACAACGTGCTCACTCACTTTATGTTACATGTGCTCAACAAATAATAAAAGCAGTAATTGTGGTGAGAACATTACCAACAACTAATGCTATTGAGACGTCCAATCCACTTACCTTTGCAGGTAATTCATCCACTTAAAGAATCTTGAGTCTTGGAATGTGTTTTGGCTTCTCCATTGTGAAGAAGTGTTTATGATTTCATCATTTTTGTATTTTCCTATCTCTTAATTTTGATCATATTTTCTGTTGGTTTCTTTCTGCTGGGAGAGGAAAGATATATATTTATAGCAGATCCCTAACCAGAAATAGTGAGTGTGAGAGGAGGAATGGCTGTCTCTGGGGTGTGGCTTTAGCATCTCTCTCTCTATTTTACTCTTTTGCTTTTTTAAAACACTTTGTTTCCAGCTCTTGCTCTCACAACCACCTG